GATCAGCATAAAAAGAAAACGGACAAATGTGTTAACATTTTTTTTAAAAATTATTATTATTTTTTAAAGGATTTTTCTTGGATATGCGTCATGTCCACCTGTCACGGCGGCTGGTGCATCCATATTGTAATCAGCTGCTTTCATGTATGTTTTTCATCAGGCATATTTTCCATATGATGATATGACCCCTAATTTGCTTGGCTGATAGAGCAAACTGACAATGCAATCCAAAATTGATTCTGGTAGAATAACAGACAGTAATGACAGTGTAGTGGTCTCAGAGAAACAGACCGTTAAGTACACAGACAATTAGGATATTAGTCTTATCTCAGGCTCCATTCGCTGCTTAAAGAACAGTGGGATGATGCAATGGAAGAGTGAGCATACACTCAACACCAAATACACACATAACCTCAAGCTTTCTGAACGTAGGCCAGTACACACCCTCTACAGAGCACAGGCTGAAGTAATGACTTCAGCGGAAGGTTAGTACCTCTGCAGCCGAGATGCATTAATATTTTATGGGGAGATCCTAGGCGGTGCATGCATGTGAACAGAACTCTCCTCCGGTATGAATCTCTCACCAGAAGCTTCTTGTCATCATGTGTGCAGTTTGTCTCAATCACTACTATCCTCAATACAATAGCAACACAGAGACGATCCCTCACAGTATCTGCACAGACACACCTTCCAACTACACATACGCAGAGTAGCAAAATAAACGGAGATTCCTCTCCATTAGGAAGCCAGAGTTCTTAAAGTGTCAGAAAAGTAGTAAGTCATATATAAATGTCTAACACATATCTAATATATTCTGTACTCTCAATTTGGCTTTTTGTCCAGGACCAAGGTACAACCTCAGCCCGACTCCATTAACAACTTTGCTAACTTGGCTGAACTTCCAGCTATCGATACCTCAGGTTAATGAGGACAAGGCCCTGATAGGAGCAGTGAAAAAAAGAGCCAAAGTCCATAGCAGAATTAGAAACATCGCCACAGACTCACAGCTTTGATGCAAGTACATTTTTATGGATTTTACATTTTATAAAAAAAAATCGTATGAGTCCCTCATCAAAATGTAAATGTCATCATTAAAAATTCACAGCAGCAGATGATCCCCTAAAACTGTTACTTACTGTTACAACAGTTACAACCAACTCAATGTTGCATTACGGCTGGAGTGTTTGTTCCACTACGCTTAAAAGCTTCTTCCTGTCTGTCTTATGTCCACACACAGTCACTCCCTGTTTTTTTATGCATTTGTATATTTCAGGAAGTTAAAATGGCATCTACCATTAAGTCTAAAGACAAGTGTTGAAAAGGAGAGTCGTCTCATTATCAGGCCGTCTAGTGTTCAGGCCTATATGATTGAATTTATGTTTTAGATCTTTTTACATTACAGTAGTGACATGAGCCTGGGACTGATCACATTCTGACTTCCCGTGATTAAAGGATTAGAACTGCCTCCCTCAATGAAACTGGACTTACTGGATTTGTGACTGCCCTTTAAAGAACCCAACAGAGACAAGTTAACTCTATTAACTTTGTTGTAATTGAGAGTTTTTGATGAGTAAAAAAACAAAATCACACATTCTATGTTTATATAAAATCCACATCTACATGATCCTCAAGTGTCAAATTGATGTTGGTTACTGAGCCCTCAGGCTTCATTGTTATGATGAAGCGCAGATTCAAAAAAAATCTGCCGCAAATTTACTATTTTTCAATTTCTATTTCTAACTCCAACAGCAATATAAGAAGATTTCCTGAGCTTTGAATCCTCACACCTCATATGAAATGTTCACACATTCCCACAAGCCTTTTGTCATATACAGACAGTTATATGTCATCACCATATTTGCATGAAGGGCCCTTGGATTTGAACTGCTTTTCTTAAAAAGAAAAAAGAAAAGAAAAGGGAGAGCACGGCATAGAGTCAAGGGCACACATGTAAACCATCACTGAAGCCTTGTGAAGTGGTCTTAACTTTAAACTACGGTTTTCATAAATCCTTTTGACCAAAAGTGAGTTCACGAATATTTACTACAATTAATCATTGATTTCAGGGACATTTCTTTTTGCACTTTCACATTTAAAAATAGAGTACTGCTTTTACTTTTATATCATATTAGATTCAAGCTACTGGCAAAATGTTACATCAAAAAAGACTGAAAATAGGGTTCTTCTTTCCCAGAATTCAGTGTATCTCATAAAGGGAAATTACAAATGAATTGGACACAAAATGTCACATTTAAGGAAAATTTTTCCTATCAATAGACACTGCCGTGTATCGATGCCTCCTAATCACCTTACATGTAGGATACGCTAGATGCTAGCTATGTGGCTAATCTCCCCACTCAGTTTCTGCAGCACCCACAACTCAAACAGGTGCACAAACATAATTTCTCTAATGTCAGCTTCACCCATGTTAAAACCATGTGATTTTATCTGCACGTTTTGTACGTGCTGATTTTTTTTAAAAGTAGGGCATGTATTTTAAAACACTGCAGTCGATCATGCACATTTCATTGTCGGAAATCAATATCGTGATTGTAAAGAATTTTTTTTTTTGTGCAGCCCAACAAGACCTGCTCTAAATTTAAGGTTTGAGTGTTTACAACTGTACATCATACATGAAAGCACGTAAAGCAAAGCTTAAGTCACACAATGTTCCAAGTTGAAACGCATCTTTCAGACTTCAGTATGCTTTAATGAGGTTAACTAAACACAGCATAATAACCTTAAAACTAACCCCAGCTTGAAGGTATGTGGCTATGCTGAGAGACTGAAACCAGAGTTGGTTTAGAAAATGAAGATCTGTAGAGACTTTTCTCTTAGATTTTTGCTATAAAAGGCTAATTCAGACAATATTAGCCTCCACAAGCAGGCTCTGCTGCTTGCATCTTGATCTGCTGCTGTTCTCACATGTAGGCCAAGTATGGTTTCTTAGGTCACACAGCACACTGCCTTGGAGCCACTAGGATTGTTATCTGTGACACATCTGAATGACAGACTGTGGACAAACTGTTAGCTGCCCTTCAAGACTAACAAGTCTTAGATTGCATTTGATTCAACGCTGATGGTTTTATCAACTGTGTCTTCACAGATGCAAGATGGTTAGGAGGGAAAAACATCTGTGTGTGCACTGACGAACCAAGCTGGAGTGAAGCTTCCTGATCTTAAAAGTGTGGCGTATCAAAGATAAATAGCATGATCACACAGAACTTTAATTTAATGATCACAACAGAGCTTGTTCATAGATGCTACCAGATCAACAATCCTTTAGTTAATTAAACACCTGATACAGCAGAGTAACTGTGAACACCACCAGACAAGTTCCTCCAACTGCAGCAGCACTGTATCACACTGACGAATGCCTCCATCATCTCAATATGCTCCCAAACAGCAGCACTGCCACAACTTTGTTATTATCGCACGCACACACACACAAGCAAAATCCATTATCTGCTACAGCTTTTCTCCCTCTGCCTGGCTCATCTAATTATTAATCAACGCAGCTGCCAGTCAGATATGATTGTTGACCATTGTCGGTCACTCTCACTCGAGGTCTCAAAAATACAGGCGTTCTGGGTGCTGGTTTAAAACTAATAACGCTTTTCAGCTGCACAATCTGACATTACCATATTTAAACATTCCCCTGTTCCTTCGTCTCCCTGCCTCTGCCTTCACATCTGCACTCGCTGATATTTTAATAGCTTGTGTTGGGTGTGGCTTATTGCTACACACTGCTTATAGCAGTTAAAACAGGGGGGATGGGAGGCGGATTACGGTATCTATACATCAGCACTACTTGCCCAAACATACTAGGCAGCACTGTCTCACATGTAAATGCAGTCTTTGTTTGCTCCTCCCATGCCTATGCCGATGACTGAGCCCGGTTTATTGTTGTGGCGTGCAGTAAATTCTGTTGAACTTTGAGCTTCCATCTTGGCAACCACAGGCAGAAAATGTATGCTAGTAAAAAAATGTACCAACAAAATCAACCAGTACACAAGCAGCTTAAATCAGCAAAGTACACCACTGCAGCTCTGTAGTCACACATACAAAAGAAGACACCATAAGCACAATATAGAATTTTAATTACTAAGTAATAGGGCTTCGATTCTAAGCTCAAACCCATTGGAGTCCAATTTGGACTCTTAGTGAGACAGACATTTCTTAATGGGATCGTTGGGATTCTTTTTAAAGTGCTATCAATAGATCACGCAAAGAGAAATGCCCTCGTCAGACATAAATAAGGAGCAGGAAATGTGGCTTCTTGAAATTCAAGATTCACTAAAAATTATACAGTATCATGTTACAAATAACAATCCAACTAAACCCTTCAGGTTAGAGGGGAAGAGGTTTCACTTTATGTGTTTGAAAAATTGATGTAGATAAACTTGGTTTGTGCTTACGAAAAGGAAGGTCAGCATTAAACATTTTTTTAAGTGCTGGCAAAATAGTGGACAAAAGGGCCAAAATGGAATATATGATCTACAGAAAATCAGGTAGCTGACTTTACACTGTTTCACCTTGACATACCTAACGTTTGGTAGTTCAGGCTTTTCAAACATGAGATCTGCTGCTTTTTCTCAGTCACATTAACTATCACTGCCCCCTTTACTGTGTGGCTTGTGTCCATTTAAAAGTTCAGATATCGCCCTGGTCTTTGGTAAACTGATGTGCATTTGCTGTTATTTTTATACGACAGAATAAAAATGAATTAACAGAGATGAATAGAGAATATTAGTAATTTTATACTAAAACCTTTTGACTCCAAAAATAATACATTTTTGTTTAAAGTATGGGTAGTAGAGTGACAAGTTAACCCGAGGCATTTGTCACTTGTTCTCTCAAGCTCATGAAGTGCTGCACTTGTTCAGGCTCGAGTTCAGTTAAAAGAAATGAGATCAAAGTTATATTTGGATTATTTTTTTGACACATAACAGTGCGCTGCAGTGGTTTATAGAACAGTCTTAATGGTTGTGACTACATACCCGATCTTGGCCTTCTGCTTGGACTTGGAGGAGGGCACAATGCAGGACTTCCTACAGGCCTTCTCTTTGGGCCGTGCCTTGCCGTTTCCTTTGTGCTCGCGGTCCCGATGGCTCTTATACTGTGACGAAGAGCTGGGGAAGCTCTCCGGACTCATAACTCGAGGGATGTTTTTCTCCCCTCGCTGCCGGGCCTTGGCAATAGCCTCTGATATTATCCTATTGGCTTTCTCCTGCTTGTCTTGCGGAGTTGACTCCATCGGATGATGCGTCCTTCGTGGCACCCTCTTCTCCGACGAGGAGCTGGATGAGGATGAAGACGAAGAGGAAGAGGAGGAGGACGATGAGCTGCTCTTCATTGGGGGACTGAGGACCCGCACCTGACCACCGGGACCATTAGCGTTCTTTCGAGGCTAAGGACAGAGGTAGAAAAACACAGACATCATTAGCATTTACATTTATGATGCCAGTCTAACACACATTTCATAAATAATACAGCCATGATGGCATCTAGCCTTTTGAGGACGATTCAAACCCATACCACAGAAAGACACAGTGACAGAGCCCTTTAAAGGAAAGCTGTTGCACTGGGGTACTAAATCTATTTTCTCACCAGTTGGTCTTTTTTTTCTATTTTGTTTTGTAATACAAAACAAGTAATTATGTCAGAATAAAAGCCATAAACAAGAAGGTTGTTATCTATAGCTGCTATGAAGTAATGCAGCTCAGCCATAGGTGAGTAAAACAAGCAAATCTTTATTTCCCTCTCACACAAAATGGGACCAGCACAGCGAGTAGCCATTTCACTGTACAATGTAGGAAGCTCTGTATGAAAATTAAATGTGAAACATAGACTGAAAACAAAAAAAGAAAGCACTGCAAACCAAGGCTTTATGAGTTTAAAATATACTGTGATGCAGCAATGCAACCAGCGGAAACTATCAATCACTCATTCAGAAAATCGCAACCTTCTGTGTGAACCACTCAGACAGCAGAGCTTGTTGCTGTCCCCTTCCCACATGCTGAGGGTTGGGTGGTGGAGGGGGGTTGGACCTGTCTCACTCCACACCACGCTTACTTCAACTCCCGGCCTCTGATCGAACTCTACTAGCAGACATGAGAAGGGCCGGTGTTTCCTCCAAGTGTTCATTTAGATCAGGTGGAGAGAGGCCTCTCTGAACTCTGAAAGCATGTGACACGAAAAGCCCGATGCAAACGAAATTCTTTTGCGTGAGGTAAGCTATTAAAAAGGTAAAACACTGGCTCAATGTGGCAGGTTACAGTGAAGCCTTGTGGACATAAATAATCCAGTCTGCCTGATACATGATAATATGTGAATAATAGATGGCGTGACTGCGGTTATGCCTATACAAGCGTCTTGTGGTGGGCCTTGAGCCCAGTGGAGAGGGAACCCATAAATGGATGACCTAATCTAAAAATGTGTTGCGTATGCCTACATGGCCCAGGCGCGGCTGGTTGCTTTTTTTTTTTCCACACTGCTTGCTAAATAAAGAGAATTAGCTTGAACCTCGCTGACAAAGTGGGGGGAGGGAATTGAATAACTAGCAATTCATTTGGAAGGAAGTGGGGAAAAAAAAAAAAAACACACAGCAGACACACACACATACACACAAGAGCTGCATTATGATTTTCACGTGTGCAACGCTGCTGAGGCTATTAGGAAGAAATTTACTGGATCATGCTGGAATGTTCTCATTCAAGTTATTGGTAAAAAAAAAAACAGAGAGAGAGCGAGAGAGAGGGAGGAGTAGAAAGTAACGCTTAGGAGCGGAAGAACATGAGCGCACATGAAAGAGGTAGCAAGAAGAAAAAAAATATGAAAACAGGCTTGTATCAGAGAGAGAGAGAGAGAAGAGGGGGGGAGGCGAGAGAAAAGATAAAATGCACCAAAACTGAGAGCACTGCAGCTGTGTAATACATCTATAAATAACTGAAATTACAGCCTGCCAGCACTGCAGTGATTTCAATCTCTCTAGCAGCACGTAGTCCCGTGAAAACGGCAAGGACCATTACGACCGATGAAAAGGTAGAGTAAGCTCCATTTGGGCCGGACACCTTTTTTTTTTTTTTTTTCTCCCCCCTTCGCTCCCACCCCCTCATTTCCACATGTAGTGAGCTCTCTGGTGACTGACAGCCTCAACTCATGGAGGACACACACACACACACATGATATACTGTACATAAACTACAGAGCAGGGCAGCTCGGAGAGAGAGACATTCAAAGGAGAACAGTAAAAGTGATGTATGAAATGAATAGACAGTGGGGGGGGTGGGGAGGGAAAAGAGAGCACTCAATCTAGTATGCCTTGATAAGGTCTAGTATAGCAAAGCAAGTGAGTATGGAGGGGAGGGGAAAAAAAAAAAAAGCAGCAATGAGTTCAAGATGGCGGCAGTGCAGCATGAGCCAGTAGCAGAGGAGGTTGTTCAGTTCCTGCCGGCCCCTCCTCCTCCCCCTCGTCCCTCCTCCCTCCCTCCCAGCTCTCAGAGCAGCTCACTTACCCTTCCTCTTGGCCTCTTCACTGTAGACATGGTGTGTTTTTTTTTTTGTTTTTTTTTTTCCTTCCTCTTTCCTCCCCCTCTCCAACCGGCTAACAAAAGCCTTGCCCTTTCGCCGGGTTCTTTTTCTCCCTCCGTTGCTCACTCAAACTACACTCACTCTTTCCTTTTTCTACAGTCGTTTTTCCCCTCAGTCTTCCTTGAGCCGTGGTGTCCCCCCCTCCCCTCCCTCACTCTCTCTCTCGCTCCTCGTTTTGCCTCCCCTCCTCCTTCCCCGGTCAGCTCTTCTCCTCAGGCAGTGCGAGAGCGCCGGAGCTGTTCGTCTCCTCCTCCCCCAGCGGGCAGGGCTCAAGAGGAGCGCATGGGAGCTCTCTCTCTCTCCCCCTCACTCTCTCTTTCTCTCTCACCCTCGTTTGTCTCTTCACAGGGTGATGAGGGAGCAGCGCTGTTGGCGGTAGAGGAGGTGCGTGGCAGTCCAGGAAGCTCTCATTCTGCTGCTGCGTGCTGCTTTCTGCTGCCGTCCGGCTTCACCCAAGTCTCCCTCACTCTCTCTCTGTGTGTCAGAGTTGCCTTCCCCTGCCTCCTCTCTCCTCCCCTCTCATTGATTCCTCTTTCCGCCTGCCTCGACTGTGCGCTCTCTCAGTGCCTCTCTGAGCCTTGTCCCTCTTAATTCTTTCTTTCCTCTTTCCCCGTTTCTCTTGTTTTTTTGCGCCTCTCCTCGTCCTCTTCACCAGCCAGGGGAGGAAAAAAAGGTAGGTTACTCCTTTTATTACGCACAAAAAAAAAAAAAAGGCTTTTGTGTTATCTCGCTCGCTTGTTTGGCTGATTGTTATTTTTCCTCCTTTTTCCCTACTTATCTTGTTCCTCGTTCTCCCTCGCTGCCCTCCACTCTCCCTGGCTGGGGCGTGTATGGCGAGCTCGAGACTCTGGCAGGCAGAGCGGCGGAAAATGAAAGCACAAAGCAGCAAAATGCATCAGCATGAATATTAGAGATGTCGTTAAAACCCAGACTCGTTTTTTTCTCTCTCTCCCGCTCACTCACTCTCTCTCTCACTCTCCCCCTCTCTCTCTCTCTCTCTCTCTCTCTCTCTCTGTAAGGAAGTAGGCCAGCAGATGGTGCTAGCAGTTATTACATTAACTTTCACAACTTAACCCCCAAAGTACTGGATTTCTCCCACGCCACAGATTGTCAGCATTGTATCTTTTTGTGTCCTCATGTTGGCTGCTGCCAGTGACGTGCTGATTTATTCATGGAACGACATCATCCAAAAGAGTTAGATGACTACACAGAAGCAAATTCCCAAAAGGCTAAAAATATATTCCGACAGAAACAGCACACAAAGTTGCAGACGTTAAGAAATCACCACAGCTGAGCAGAACAGACGTTGTGCTCCCTAACCAGACCAGGCCCGTGCAGTCTACACAGTGGCGAATACAAGCCCTCTTACCAGGTCAAGGTCGGGTCACCCTGCTATGACTCCTGGAAAAAAAAATTCCAATAAGGGAAGCTGGGTTGTGTCCAAGACATGCAACCCTTCCTGTGAGCCAGAAGAAATCTTGGAGAGCGAGAAGGCCTATCAGGGAACTCCTGACAGCACAATGCAGGGGCCATGTGCACCGGCTGGCACATGGTATTGGGAAATATTCAGACACACGGCTGGCACGAAGCCAGGTACAGTACTCAGCAGTACTGGGTCAGGCCTGAGTTACTGACAGATACCCCATCAGCTTTTTTCAGTCTGTATTTACTGAGTAAAATCAGCTGAACTGACGTCTTTCTCACCAAACACACTGTTCCTTTTTCCATGCGGCTCTACACACTAGCATTTGTGAGCAGTTTTTTTGATGTCATTTCCCCGACAAGCTGTCCTGACGGCCAGATCTAAAACACTTCTCCAAGTGCAAAATGATTGCATTTATTTATGCATATGTGTACTATTTAGATTTGAGAAGACTGATCCCCACACATGATTCAAAGCATTAGCACCTTTTGAAATACAATACCTTAGTACATAACTCCTGACTGGCCAGGCTGAGCACAGGGTTGCTGAGCTAAGGCCGTTAATAAATACACCACAACACACCGAGTAAGAGATCACCTTGGATTTTCACAATCTCTTCAAAAAAAATGTTAACAAAAAAACAACAACTCCTGCTTGGGTCAACATGACATGTTCTGTATGTGCTGTTATGAAGACTGTGACCTCTAGGCAGGAACTTTTCAAGGCTAGATGTGCCACATACAATGTTAGATTTATTTATTAACCTATGATGTTGTTCCATTCTGATCCCTTTCACTACACTACTTGTTGTAAGTTTATTCAAGTGCGGTGTGAAATATGTGGGTGAGCATGTGTCGGTTACAACACAATATGGCTTTCCAGTGCATGTTATGCAGATAACCTAAATAAAATCCTCTGCAACTAACCAAGTGGAACGGTGTGGACAGCCTTATTCAGAATCTCCCCGTGTGTGTATGTGGGAGTATGACAATGGTGATGGAAGTTTTCACGCTACCTCTCTGTGGTATGTGTTCCTACGGCTTAATATCTCCTACAAAGACAGAGATGACTGCCATGTGCGCATAGCAATGGCTGTCCTTTCCAAGTGTGTGCAGCAGCAGGCATCGAATCAACCTGCCAAGCCAGGCCTTGGAGTTTGGACTTTAAAGCAGACCACATGCTTACTGGGAGCTGAGCAACAGCGTCCTCTCCAAGCTAAACAAATCCACTGTCAGATAATGCCCAGCAGGGTACAGCGCCTGGGGATACATCGACTATACACATCCACAGTGAAATGGGTGTTAAGGCATACAGGCAATTGGCCTTTTTCAAAATGAACAAAAAAATATCTCCCCATAGTCCCCACGAAACTATCAAAGTCGACATGAAAAAATACCAAAAAAAAAAGTCACACATTACTGCATCTGCCATAGGTCTACATAATTGTGCCACTTTTCGTGCTTTCAACAACACACAATTGCCTTTCCACTGTCAAGGATGAAAAATGAACTATGGTCAAAGAAACATCACGTAACAACTGCCATGTGCAGTTTAAATAAATCATGGCAACAACAGACGGCCTACTGGAGGGACTTAATGGAGAGTGTTAGTTAAAACACAGACTGCCTTTACCGTTACTATACGCTGTCATTAGTAATAATGAAGAAAAAAAAACATGGTATTTTCACTGTAAAGGTTGTTTTCTCAAAACATTGATAAGAAAGAAAAAGGGAGAAGAGAAAACAGGCAACAACATACACATGCTTCAACGGTCACATGGCATGAAGCCACAGCTCCTTGGCAACTAGACAGTTAATATGCAAACAAGCCTGGCAGCTCTGTATGAGGGGGAGTGGCTTCCTTTCAGGACAGATGAGGGAGGGGAGAGGAAGAGGAGGGGAGGGGAGGGGAGTAGAGGAAGGGGAGGGGAGTAGCAGAGCTGGTGAAAGGAAGTGGGTGGAAAAAAAAAAGTGTGTGTGTGTGTGTGTGTGCAGTGAGGTAGGGTGGCTGCAGAGGCACAGGTGTCTGTCGCTGAACACTCCATTACTTCCTCATCAAAGGGTCTGTATTAGTGTGCCACTGCTCTCATTTCTTGCCTGTACCACCGTGAGAGTCTCCTCTAACTCACCATTAGGGAAATGAGAGCTGAGAGCTAACAATGCACAGACTGAAAATGACAAGATGGCTAGCACCCACCAGTGCTTCAGAGCCTACAGCTCACTTCTACTGTCAAGCACAGAAATGAAAAATCCTTAGCCAGCTGAAACATGGTGTCACCCAGTGTTAATTAAAATATTATCCATGGTGCACTGAATGACAAAAAAAAAGGCTGTTTGATCCATTATGCACTGCTGTAGACAATGCGCATGTTTGATCTTGTTAACTGTTATTTCAGCTTTAAACTTTCCCAGCTGAAGGGTACGACACTACTTGTTTTAGACAATGCTGCTTCGATAACCCTGCTATAGTGTCCACAAGAAATCAAGTCTACACGAGTTAAGGACACCTGACTCCCCGTTTTTAAAATTTCTTATAAGAAATTTACTTTTTAAAATTTTAGCTCAAATTCTATAGGTGTAAATAATTACCTTATAAACCTCAAAACCCACCAGCGGGTTCCAAAGGCATCATATTTATACGAAATCACCAAAATTTCAACATTTATCATTTCAAGAAACTGTACTCATCAGAAATTGGGTTTTCTGACAGTCTTTGATCTTATCGTGTGGCTTTTCTTTAATCAAATCTAACCTTTTGGATATTTCATTAAAATCACTATATTCTAATAGCCTCCTTTAAAAAACTGACGGATCTGAACAGTTTGCAATAACCAGATTCTGTAAAAAAAAAAAAAAAAAACCCACTGCGTTCCTTGGTGTGACCAAGATGCAATTAGCCAGTCAGCTGCAACCAGCAGTCACGTGAAATGAACTGCAGGCTGTGTTTGCACAGAGCAGATAGGAGGCAACTTTAGAGAAGGAAGAAAAATGTAGGTAGTAAAATCTCTGCTGTATCTAGAGTCACCATTTTTTCCACCCCAATGCCGGTAACACCTCTGAGCACTAGAATAAACTGTTGTACATGCTGATTGTATCTATTTCAACATTTTAATTAATCAAGACAATTTAACTTTGCATTTCTTTAAAATGTGATGGCTTTATAACTGTGTTATTGTTCACAGAAGAGTTTTTTTCAGTTGTCTTTACTTCTAGCCACAATTGTGCTGTTTCCATAGGAGGTGCTAGATTTTATATTTCAGGGAAAAATTAACCCACAGTGAGTAAGAATGTGACAGGAGTGTTAACCACTCACAAACTTCTTGGGGTTTCCAGGGTTAAAAGGCTAAAAGGTTTGGTTTGATCAGTGGCCAATCATTTTAAAAGTTTATGTTTAACCCTATGCAGGACTTTCATGTTGTCATACATTGAAGGTATTTCTAAGAAAGAATATGTGCAAAATATTTGTGAGTATTCATTACAGACTTTTATACTATCTTAAATAAATTTTCTGATAAGTTGATGTATTTTTAGTTCCAAATGTATGACAAGTGTCCCTCTATTTATATTTAAAAATCTTCAAAAATCATGATTTAAAAAAAAAACAATACCTGTCACCTAAACCAAATGGCCTGGTGTCCAAAAGACCCCAAAAGTCCTGAGTAGGGTCAACTATGGCACGCAAGACATTCTAGGAAACTGGATTGCTCATAACTAATCAAACCAACTGACTAAGACCTCCTACAATTATGATTTCCTGTGAAACGCAACAATTAGTTTCTCCCTCAAGTTCAGAAATGACTGCCAGTAATTTGCCATTCAACATGAAAAAGTATTTTTTTCCAATTTGTATGTGTATTTGGAAGGCACTTTAATCAGTCTTCAAATCAAAATGCTATGGCTCAAATACAGACACATATGTGTGATCACAGTGTTAATGATCTAGTTTGTGTTAGTCACACAATGAATACAAGAAGCTTTTCTCTTCTACAATTCTATTATAAATGACAAAATACACACCTGACAAACAAAGTGTCATCACTTTCATTTTCAACCTTGATTTAACCTTTGCCTCCTTCCACCTCTGTGGAAATGTGTGTCAGTGTTGTTTAAGAATAGGCTTAGCCTTTGGCATTTCTCACAGCAATAAAGGCATCACTGATGCCTTGTCAACCATCACCAAATGTCACATCTATGGCTTTATTAATGAAACATAGACTGCACTGTTTAGGTATCCAGGTGTGAGGGAAAAAACAACATTAGGCCCTGCTAATTAGACCTACAGCTAAAAGGCCAGTTTGCAGCCAGACTGGAGTGTGAGGCAGCAGCAGAGTTGATAAATGAAAGCAGACAGGATGCATAGCAATGCTTCCTCAACCAATTAAATACAGCACCATGCATTAATGATCCTGTATTCAGGGTCAAGAGTAAGAGTAGCTGGGCTTAGCATGCCCTTTAGAGAAGCTGCTCAAAGTATAACTGAGCATCATTACTATAGTCTAACCTCATGTACTGTGACAGGATCGTGACAATACACAAAGTGTGCACCGCAGCTGCAATGTCACTGTAAGAAAACAAGTAAATTACATTTTTATTTCATATAACATCAAATCTTTGCACCTGGGTGCTGCCTGCCATCTTCTATCGCTGGCCAATGCCAGGCAACTCAGCTGCCAGGTCAGTCGATTTTGAGGACAGTGTGCCCCTTCCTAGGCTTTCCAGATGGTCACACTAAATATATAAATTATATGTAGTTCCTTGGCTTTAACAGCAAATGCAAATTAAATAAATCCATCCTTATATGTGCAACAGAGCTGCTCAAAATTAATTTTCTTCTATTATTAACAATGATGCAGCTCCAAGTAATGACAATTGGCCATGTTTGAATTGTCCACCAGCCTCTTTCAATGTATTACTGGCTTTAAAAAAATCAGTATGATCCAGACATCGATACTGCTGCATTCGCATTGTTAACTATACAACAATCCCAAAACATAAAAAAAGAAGCGAACAAAGTTCAAGCCTGTCATTTGTATTGGCCTCAGAAGACAACACTACAGCAGATCATTCTGCATGTGCATGTGTCCGTCTGAGATATTTATAGTCAACACACATGTAAAGCCCAGAGGACCATGACTATAAAGACAAACAGAAAACACTCTGTTCCCTTTCCTCTGTCTTTTCACGTTCACACTCACTCTCCAAAATCTGCACTGATCTTTACACCAGGGTTAATTCTGTGCAGACATACCAGTTAACTAACTGGTCCAGCTAAAGTTAAGGATGTGCCACGACAACACTGCTGCACTCCCAAGCAGCCCTGATTCAACAGGCTTTAATTGTACAACCTATAAGCTTGCTATTATGTCTTCTACTTAATTGCTATTGTGTAGTAGGCCAACTGTCTTATTTGACCATGTTCAGCACAGCCAAACATTCCTACTGCTAACAAGGTTTGTGAGTGCAGACAGATCCATGTGGAGTGTTAGAAGTACAGCATACTGGGCCTTCTCCACTGGCTAGGACACAACTGACCACTAGGGGGTGACTGTGAGGAGGCAGAGCAGAAATGCAAGGTAAAGAGAAATGATGTCTACAATCACCTCCATGTGAGGAGCCATTTATATCTCAATCAATCCATTGAAAATATCAGTGTTTTTTTTTATAGTTTTTTTTTTAATTTCATTAACGAGGTATAAAAATTTTTTAAAAATTTAAAAACAGGGGGGTTAGAAAACAATTTATAGTAACATGACAGTGGCATTTGGGACTGTATTACGGTTATTTCACATATATAGTCTGTGGTACTGACAATTAACTCAACAGGTTTCTGTTTTTTTTATTTTTTTCCTGGAACAGTAAAAACTGGTTTCAATGTCTGAAATAATACGGCCAGTGGGTCAACATTTGCAATTATTTCCTCTCCTTAACTGGCTACCCAGATAACGGTTGGAATTAAAGCACTGGCTGCCCCCAGTGTTTCTGAAATCACTAACACAATCCAAATTGGACTTTTTAACATATCAGCTATGTGAATGGTAGTCTTTAAAAAACGTCCATTCACTAATTTAGTGAATGCCTTTCAAATCTCATTTTGTTTAAGAGCCTAGTAAAGACCACACAGACAGCAACTAAACACCTTGTGGCCTGGTCTCTGTTTTGTGACTTGGTTTAGTTTGGCTTTCTCATGACACTCATTATCTCACTGATCCCTACCAAGAAAAAAAAAGGAAAAAGAAAGAAAAAAACCCACACCATCTGTGACGTGGGTTTGAGGGTTGTGCAGAATACAGAGTATAGCGTAGGCCTGGCTCTGTGTCAATCACCCCCAATGACTGAGAA